AGGGAAAGTTTGATTCATTGAATATAACCTCCTTGGAAATGTAGATTCTTCCATCTGCTACAAGGCATTTGTAGCCTGCTACAAGGCATTTGTAGCCTGCTACAAGGCATTTGTAGCCTGCTACAAGGCATTTGTAGCCTTTGTGACTTGTAGAGTATCCTAGAAAAACACATTCTTTGGACCGAAATGGAAGCTTGCTTCTATTATAAGGTCTCAATATAGGAAAGCAGGAGCAGACAAATATTCTGAGAAAATTATAATCTGGAGATTGTTGAAATAATTTCTGATAAGGTACTTCATTGGAAATTTAAGATGATGGAAGTTTATTAATGAAATAAACCCTGGTAATAAAGGCATGATCCCAAAACTTTGTTGGCCTATGTGCTTGAGCTATCAAAGTAAGCCCCAATTCAACTACATGTCAATGCTTGCGTTCTACGACATCATTCTGATAATGTGTGTGAGGACAAATAAGACAATGCTGGATTCCATTTAGATAGGCGGAGAAAGGTCTGTATTCTCCTCCCCAGTTTGCCTGAACAACTATTAAAGGTAATTGAAATTGATTTTGAACCATAGCATGAAATTGTATAAAGACATCAAGTGTATCTGCTTTGCTTTTTAGCAAGTATAACCAAGTGAAACAAGTATAAGCGTCAACAAATGTAACATAGTAATGGTAACCACAAGTAGATAGAATTGGTGCAGGGCCCCATAAATCGCTAAATATCAATTTAAAAGGTGCATAGATGTGAGTGATGAGCTTTTCCAAGACAACAATGAGAACAGAAAGTAGAATCACTTCTGTTGATACTTGATAGTGGGAAAATTACAATTTCAAAATATCAGTTTCATTACAGCAATATTAGGATGACCTAATCTAGAATGTCGTGGCAAAAGAAACTAAGTTGCGAGTGGCTGTATTGACAAGAGGATTATGAAGTGTTGAAGGCTGAAGATTCTGTTTAGTCATAGCTTTAGATGACGGCAAATCAGGAAATTGGTAGAGGCCATTTGAACCGACAAGTCCTTTGAGGTGCACCTTTTGGAAGCCTGGGATTTAACCAAGCCAAGAGAAGAATGAAATTCAAAGAAAACTAAATTATCCTTACAGAATTTACTCATACTTATTAAGTTCTTGGTGATGGAGGGAACATAAAGAAGATTATTAAGTGTGAAACAAAAAATTGAGAATTTATAGGTGAGGAAAAAACAAACACACTTGTTGAATTGATATTGAGGCCCCGACCATATCCAATAGTGATTTTTTCAACTCATTCAAATGGTGTAAGCTGTTGATTATTCTGTGAAGCATTAGTGACATGATTAAAAGCTCTTGAATCAAGATACCAAGCAATTGGTCTTGACGGGGTAAAAGAAGTGATCATAGCCTGAGGACAGAACTGTTATAATTAGAAAAATATGCCTGAGTAGCAGATTGAGGTTGATCCTAAGATTCTAGGTTGTTGAGGATGAAAAAATGGTTGAGAAGAGGATGGACTATATGATGTTGATGTAGGTGCAACAAGTGGAGAAGAAGAGACATAATTATCATCAAAACAAGTGGAAGCAATATGACCTTAGTGATGATAGATCTGACATTGGAAACCAGCATAACTTCCATGTCCTCTTCCACCTCTTTTATTGTAACAACCAACACAACCATTGTGTTAGTCACCATGATTTGGAGTATAGGTTTAGAGTTCTGTTTGGCAATATGTGATTGTGGTTGAGGAATAGAAGATGAAAAACTTGAAAAGACTTATGCGATATTGATTGAGGCAACATCTCTCTTGAATTTCTCAAGACAGGCTTCGTGAGCAAGTAAGACCGTTTCAACAACAATAGACAATTCATCAAACCGGCTACTAATAAGAGATACAATGGATTTATACTCCTCTAGCAAAGCTTCAAGAATAATATCAAGATGCTTCTTGGATGATGTAGAGTCTTCAATGACTGTAAGTGCATCCACAAGACTTTGAATGCAGAGAAGAAAGTCAGAAACAATGCAACTTTCTAGATCTGTATTACAAAGTTTGTTGCAGAGTTGTCTTGCCTTTGCATTAGTATACACATGAAAATAGGAATGGATTTTATCCCATAGATTCCAAGTTGTCTTGCAACCAATGACGCGAGTAAGCATGTCTCGTGACAAGGATGATTGCAACCAAGAAAGGAGAAGCTGATCTTGCTGTACCCATGCGAGATATGAAACGGAGATAGTGATGAATTTGTGGATTTACTAAATAGTGATGAAGCTTGTGTCCTTTGATGATAGGTTCAACCTATTGACATCAAAGAAGGTAATTTTGCTGTCATGTTTCTCTGAGATGGAATGAGAAATGGTAATTTGACAGTGTTGTCAAAGGTTTCGAAGAGGAAGATGAAGCTGTATTGAATGGATCAACATGTAATGGTGGAGGAGGATTGAAATCAGCCATGCGCGTTGAATAAGAGAAAGAAAAAAAAATGAAGGATCTAACTTGCTGTTAACAAAATCAGAAAGAGAGAGAGAACAGAAGATAGATTCTTGAAGAATGAAAATGATATTGATAACCTAATTACAAATGATTATACAAAGATAGAGTTATAATAGCTTATCCGGAAGCTTGAAAATAAAACTAACTAAACTGACAGCTGTCAGTTACAAGAGTTTAAAAACAGAAAATGAAACCTATACTACTGCTTTACATTTTAGAAAATAAATAAACCAGAGTAAAAATATACTCCTATATAGAATATCCTACAGGACCTCTTAGGATTTATTGTACATTTTTAGTTTATGATTTGTATCCTTATTTAAGAAGGATCTTTGTAATTATAGGCATATCTAATTTGAATCAAATTTTTAGGCATAGCATATCATGTATATAGAAAGAAATTCTTCTATAATTATTTGTACTTATTGCATTCCGCCTATGTAAAACAGACTCTATTGTGTAGTCAAGACACATGGTTTTCGCCTCACTTGCATCTGCTCTTCTCTCTTTCAACAATTATCATCAGTACAGTCTCTGTTTTTGTTTTTAATCATGTGTGGCTGGTACTTCAGTTGGTTTTTACAACTGTGCAGCTTAAATTGTTGAACAGAATAGCTACTGTAAAAGATGATGGCACTGTAGAATTTGAAGTTCCTGTGGATGTTGAACCTGAGGCTCTTGTTGCTCGATCCAAACAAGTAAACCATGTCATTGATGATTCACTTGATGCAACAGACTTTCATTACATCCCACCATTGAATATAGTTATGCTTATTGTTGGTACACGAGGAGATGTGCAACCATTTATTGCAATAGGAAAACGCTTGCAGGTAGAGGCATTTTCTTATGTCCTAATTTTATCTCCGCCTGCTTCAATAAACACAGACAGGCACGTGTGGAGCTTTGTGGCATTTCGTTAAGGGGGTGCATGATTGTATCTGAAGAGACACTTTATTATGTCTATATTTTCCATTTCTATGTGTTAGAATAATAGGATATATATTGTACTTATATAACTGAACCATGTGTATCTTTTCATATAAATACCTGACCCATTGTATTCAGAATCATAATGGAAATGAGTTTCTTTTCAAACTCTCTCTCTGAGGTAGAATTCTAATATTATGTATCTGTTAGAATTAGAACCATTCATGAACAATTGTCCATGCGTAAGATAAGGTGGTTCAGTGCATGTTTAGCAAGGTAGTGGGCCAATGCACGCATCAAGTGCAGAGTACTTGTTTGAGGGGACCTCTTAGATCTATAACTATTCATGATTATCTTCAACTAAGTAGTTTAAACTTTAGTGAAGGTTGATTCTTGACAGTATGCATACATGAGTTTTTTTTCTTCTTAAAAATGTTATAATAAGAACATTCATGCAAATGAAGAGAAAGGAAGGAAATATTACAAATACGTGATCCCATGTTTTTTTGCTGCTCTTTCACTTGGCTATGATATTTGTGGCTGCTATATATTTAGTAATTTTGTGGCTTCCTATTTCATTGTCATTTTCTAATGGAATTATTTTATTTATCCAATTAATACATTTTTTACTTTATTTTTTGTAGGAGGAAAAGATATGAACTGAATAATTTGTGTATAAGTTATTTTTGCATTTAAAATTGATTTTCTAAAAGAATTTTCTTTATGTGCAGGACTATGGCCATCGAGTTAGATTAGCAACCCATTCAAATTTTAAGGAGTTTGTTATGACAGCTGGGTTGGAGTTTTATCCATTAGGCGGTGATCCAAAAGTTCTTGCTGGTTGTATGTATACCAATGTACAAGTTTCTTTTTTCTCTCTGAGTGGCTTTGTGCTCGATAATCTTAATTTCTTCTGTCCCACATTCCCTTCCAATGTGTTTTTTGTTTGGGAAAGTGATGGAAGGATTTTTAGTAAAAATATGTTTTTGCTAAGATTTAATTAATACTCAAGTAGTTAACCAAGTCAATAACTTTTTCTCTTAAACCAGTCATTTATCATTCTGAATAATCATGTGATTGAAAACAGTTGGATATTCTTCATTGCCAAAAAGCTTGACTCTTTGAACTATTTTGACCTGTTAATGCATTCGGGTCCTAGAAACCTTGTGGTTTGCTATGTTGGTTTTGGTGTATTTTGATACACATGCTTGTCTGGACTTTTCAGCATTTTTTTTTGGAGCGTGGTGTTGCATTTGTGTGTGCTTGAGCACAGATTTATATGTATGACTTGAAGATTGATTCTTCTTGTTGAATAACATTTTTTACATAGTTTACACATGTTAATATTTGTGGATGTTAGTCATTTTGAATTAGGGATTTGATTGTTTCCCTTTGTATTTATGCTTGCACCTTAAATTACTCATTATAAATAACATACATGTATGTACCTCCAATCTAATATTCAATATTCAAATATCTTTTGTTTCTATTTGATATTAGTACTCCAGGTTCTGATTCCCTTTTGTTAGGACTGAGTCCAAACAACAACCTATAGGGGGAAAGGGTCTGTAGGTTTATTATAGGAAAAAGAAAGGGTCAAAGTTGTAACAAACTATTAGATAGATAATCAAGTCTTTTGGCTTAGTAGTTGTAAGACTTGTCTTGGAACACTGAGTCAACCTGGTGTTCTCAAGATTGATTTCTCTCAACGTTAAAATAATGTTTGGCAAGTAGAAGTCATGCCCTGCTAACACAAATTAGTCATTAGTTGTTAGCTTTGGGACATCATATGGACCATGTCCATGGACTAAGAAAAAAATCTATTAGATAGATAGGTGACTTAGTTGGTTTTATTATTGTAACTCCTATAAGCAAGCTTTTTGTGAGTGAAAGTGGTAGGATATATGTTAGTTTTTAAATTGAGCATTAGCTCTTTGTGAAAGTGAAAACCCTTTATGAAAGGGAAACCTTTGGAGGACAGTTAGCTCTCCTATTCTTTGTTCTTTTCGCAATGGAGAATCAGGTTGGATCATTGGAGAAAACTATCGGTAGCTAGGTCTACAACAGGTGGAATTAAAGACTGATATGAACTACATCAAAGAATTGTTGTTATAGATGAAAAAAAAGAAGCCATCACAATTGAGGGGTACAATTAAAATTAGTAGAGTAGGAAAAGAAAACATAAAAGGGAAGTTAGGTTGAAATAAAGAAACTGTATAGTAATGGAGTATTTTGTGCATTCCTTAATCTCCCTATTTAAAGAGTGAATGACTATGCTTAAAAAAGGAAATAACAATAATAAAGAGGTAAACAAAATACTAAAGAAATGGGGAAACAAATATCTAAAGATATTTAGAGATATTTTAGATCTTCTAAGTATATGTGATATTGACATAACTCCCCCTCAAGTTGGTAAATAAATATCAATCATTCCCAACTTGCCAATAAGATCTTGGAATCTATCAATCTATTATGTGTTTCGTTCTATCATGCTGAACTAGGTTATGAGCAATGTTGATAGCCAAATTGTTATCTTAAAGCAACTTCATAGAATAGTAGTCAATCCCGGATAGAGGAACGGAGCAGTCGACCCTAAAAGTGGGATAGCGGAATGACGCGGAGCAGGATAACCGCTATTTTAATATTAATTTATATATATATATATATTAAATAATTAATATATTATATAAAAATAGAAACATAATTTATACATTAAATATTTTTAATAATAAAAATTTATAATAGTTAAAAAAAATAAAAAAAATTAAGAAAACAAAATATTAAAGGTCTTATATTAAATTTTTTATTACTTAAAATATTATCTGAATTATAATAATAATTAATAATAAAGAAAAGTTACTTTCTAAAAAAAAATAGTGAAGTAAAAGGCCCATTTGGCCCAACTTTTCCAACCCTAATTATTTTTCCACCTTTCTAATCCTGAGAGTCAAGCTGTCACCGTTAAGACAGAGCCACCATCGGAGAAGACAAAGTCGCTGTTAGAGAAGATAGATCGACGGAGATTCGTCGGAGAAGAAGACAGATCGGCAGAGATCCGCCGGAAAAAGAAGAGAAGATCCGTCGCCCGCCCGCGATCATGCCGCCACGCTCTGCCGCTTTCGCGGCCGCTCCGACCGCTCCTTCAAAGCGCTTTGCAACAAACTTTTCCGCGACAACTGCTATTGACTACTATGCTTCATAGGACCCTTGTATTTAACTTTAAGGTCATTAATAATAATTTTCATTCATAATCCTTCACATATAACATGTGCCATAGCTCGAAACTCAACTTCTGCACTAGATCTAGTAACTAAATTCCACTTCTTGCTTCTCCATGTTACTAGATTCCCACCAAGAAACATGCACTAATTGTAAGTGGATCTTCTATATGTGACGCACCCTGCATAGTCAACATCAGTGTATATCTCTTGTGAAAAGTTAGTTATTCAAGATAAGGCTCCTTGTCTATGGAGATTTATAATGATGTAGACTATATAGGATTACAAATGGAAAATCTACTTTTGGGTACTGTATGAATCTATGGAGGGAATTTGGTGACTTGGAGGATCAAAAAGCAAAATGTAGTAACCCAGTCTAGTGTAGAAGATGGGTTTAGAGCTATGACACGAGGAATATGTGAAGGACTATGACAGGACCAAACATATTAAGATTGATAGACATTTTATCAATGAGAAACTAGACAATGGTTTTATTGTTCCAGCTCATGTTCATACAAGACTCCAAGTGGTTGATGTGTTTATTAAGATGCTTACTATTAGTGGATTCCAATTTCCAGGCACTTATAGGCAATTTGGGAATGACTGATATTCATTTACCAACTTGAGGGGCATGTTGAAAATAACAAAAATATCTTTAGGTGTTTATCTAAATGAAAATATTTTTAGGGGTTAATGAGTGTCTTATCTTTTATTTTTGTTTTATCTTCTTCCTCTTTTATGTTTAAGTCATAGTTTCCTCATTTTTTGAGATAGTAGTTCCCTCTATAAAAAGTATGATTAGAGAATGTAATTTGTGTGACAAAAATTATCAATGAAAGTTTCTTTTTTCAAGTTATTTCTTGTTATGATTCTGTAAATGTGAGTGTTACATGATGAATATAGAAATCAACGCTGAGCACTTATGAGTACCAATGTCATATACTTGTTCCCCCAATTCATTGTTTTGCTTGCTGGTTATTGTTCAATGAAATTTGAAACTTTCATATGCTTGGTCTTCTACATGATCCTAAAAACATTAGCATGTTACTTTGATGTCTGTCACGAACAAGGTATTAACTATTGATGTTTTTGGAAGAAAGGAAAGAAAATAGGGAAGAAAGAACACATGGATAAAGATGCATTTCCTTTTTCTCGTTTAAAGAGAAAATGGAAGGAAAAACTTCACTTTTAGAAACAAAATTTCAACATTTTCTCGTCAATTCAAATTTTAAAATTTGTTGGCGTCTCACTTTCCCTTTTCCAATTAAATAGAGCCTAAATTTAGATCTTGAAAGTTTATATTCATCATCTTTACAACTTCGTTCTATTCTTTTACTTTTGAATTCTTTCTGATGCAGATATGGTTAAAAATAAGGGCTTTCTGCCGTCGGGACCTTCTGAGATACCAGTTCAGCGAAATCAAATGAAAGAAATTATTAACTCTCTGCTTCCAGCTTGTAAAGAACCTGATATCGATTCCGGTGTCCCTTTCAAAGCAGATGCAATCATAGCCAATCCCCCTGCATATGGTATGCTTTCTTGTTAAATAAAATGGTTGGCTGGATTTGCGCATGTGTATTTGCTTTTGAAGTGAATATGACAAGTTTCTAAATTATGAAGCAATATTGGATTAGTGTTTTCACTAGCATACATGTGCAAGCTTGAAAAAGTTGTGACTTCCGTATTCAAGCTGTGTACAATAAGTGAGATTGGGAAAGGAGCTGATAATTCATGCATGATCCAATGTTCTAGATTAGTGTTATCAATGGTGGATGGTGGAATATGGCCGAAGCCTAAAATTCCACCATGTTAATGTGCCTTTGCTGGAATATGGCAGAAGGCCAAAATTCCACCTTATAAATGTGCCTTTGTGGCCTATGTTGTCATAATATATTTTCGGCTTCACTTTCTAAATTTTGGGTTACACTTTTTGATAACATTCTCTTTCTTCCACCTTTCTTTTTACTTGATCTTTTCTTTCTGCTTGCCTAATTTGATTAGCAAATATTACTGTTTGATGAATATCTTCGTTGTACTTTGCCATTGACATTGATTCATGTTTAGGGCATACCCATGTGGCAGAGGCTCTCAAAATTCCAATTCATATTTTTTTCACAATGCCATGGACGTAAGTTTCATATTGTTTTCGTAATCTAACTGTTTAATATTTTCTTAAGTTAGTTTTACTTGCTGATTCAATTTTGCATTTTATGTACTTCATCATTTTCTCCCAGGCCAACTACCGAGTTTCCGCATCCTCTGTCACGTGTAAAGCAACAGGCTGGTTATAGGGTGAATTCTTTATTCATCTTATCATCCCTCCTAGTTTTTTGCTTTGTTGAACTAAATATTGATCATTTAAATCTCTTCAGCTTTCATATCAAATAGTTGACTCTATGATTTGGCTTGGAATACGAGACATGATTAATGATCTTAGGAAGAAAAAGTTGAAGCTAAGACCAGTCACTTATTTAAGTGGGTCCCAAGGCTCTGAATCTGATGTTCCACATGCATATATATGGAGTCCTCATCTTGTTCCTAAACCAAAAGGTGGTTGCTCCAGATCCCACTCTTCATATTTTGTTTTTCTAGTCATTGTTATATTTGTCCCTTAATTTTTATAGTCTGTGCTCTGAGCTTATGTGTGTGAAATTATTATTTTGATGTTTCTGACTAATGAAAATAATCCCAATAAATTATTTCTTTCAATTAAGAAAAAAAAGAGTTAATGGGGGGAATCCTATCAGTTATGGAACAAGCCTTCTTCATTCACTTTTGCAGAATAAAGCTTCACAAATCCCTTGAGCAACTGATAGTAGTTTAAATAATGGGTAATTGTTAGTAGTATTGTAACTTTAATTTTTAATTAACCATTATGGATAAAAGTGTGCCTATTGCCTTAATTTTTGACAAATCCCTTGAGCAATTGATCTGTTCTGCTTTGCAGATTGGGGACCAAAAATTGATGTAGTGGGGTTTTGCTTTCTTGATCTTGCGTCAAACTATGATCCTCCGGAGCCCCTTGTAAAATGGATTGAAGATGGTGACAAGCCTATTTACATTGGATTTGGTAGCCTGGTGAGTCTTTTATTTTTTATTTTTTCTTTCATTATATATATATATATATAATTTTTTTTTCAATATGATTTGTGTATTCTAAACCTAACTATAGGAATTTTGCTTTGAGCCTTTAGCTTGCCAATTTTAAAGTGTATAACTGAATGTTTGTTGATGAGACCGTAATTGCATTAAACATATTTTGTGTTTTTTTAATTTCCATCTATCACAACTCATGTCAAGGTTCTACAAGGTTTATCATAGTGAGTGATGATATCTAAATTACCTCTCAATGGAATAGAGAGGTCTAGTTAGTTTGTCTTTATGTTCCTTTGTTGTCAGAGATAAGGAAATATTGAGACCAATCCCAAGGAATATGATAATAATTAATCTGAACAGATATTCTTAAATATTATAAAATGGGATAAGATATTTTTGTTGTGAATAATATTGTGATATTTAGTAATTATTCATAATATCTTGTTTAGGGGAAACAAAATATTCCCTAATCATGTGTCTTGAGTGAATTGAGCACATATATAAACCTTTCATGTGGTGAAGTAAAACAGACGGTTTCAACTCATCTTTTATGTCTCTGTCCTTTACTTTCAACAATTTTCATATCTTCTAACACTTCCTCAAGCTAAAACTTACTAAGCTTTATTGGAGACAAGATAAATATTAGAAGGGGGGTTGAATATTGTATATCAAAAACTCGCACGTTTGGAAGTCAGTGAATTAGTATTTGCGATAGACGAAGTGTTAGCAAGAGTAATTAATGACCACAAAAGGTTTTTATATTGGTTCATTTCAACCATTCAGGCTATGTCCAATTCTCAATTCAACCAGATTGATTTCAAATAACTTTCAACAAAGTTACAATTATTCTTTCACCAAGCCACTTCTGGTTCAACACAAGTGTTCTTTGACTGGCCTCTTCAAACCACTACCCAAGTATTTTTTTTACAAATAAACCTCTCCAAGCTCAACTCCAAGTATTTTTTTACAGACAAACTTCTCTATGCTCTACCCTATTATAATGATTATAAAGGTATTACAAGGTTGTTGTCGTCATTACACAAAAAGTTTAAGTGCAAGAGATATTTTGAAGAAGATTTTCTATGTGCGTGGTTCTCTACTGTGTTATGTGTTCTGTTGAGTTCCAGAGCTTCTTATATAGTAGCTTCAAAAGAGATGACCATTGTAGTTTCTTAAGTCTGATTGACAGAACTGCTTCATTTTACTCCTTCATCTGATCTAGAGAGAGAAGAAGTATTCATTGCTATATTAAATGCTCCAATTAATGTCTTTCACCAAAACATATTCCTTATCTTTGATAGATTAAACTACTTATTAGAGTAGAGTAGCGAAGTGGGAACAATAGGAAGCAAAGTGTGCAGCGAGGATGCAGTGCTTTTCTTGTGCCTTTTTCATGAGATTTGAGATTTGTCTTTTGTTTTAATGCTCTACATGTCTTTATACACCTTTAGCAAAATGTGAGTTTGAAAACAACGACTTTTGATCTATTAGGTATAAAACATTTATTTGAAAATTCAAACATGTTCGTCACAATAAATAATAGATGTTAAGAACATGATAGACAATTGTATGTTTCGTCTGATTTCCATCGTCTTACAGATACAGGTGCTACTTCGTCTTACATAGTTTGAAAAATCGACTTTTCAAAAACATTTTTTTGTCGAAAGACGTAGTGTTTGTTATCATTAAAACTTATGAAAAATGAGAGATTTAAGATCGTCTTTTGACTTGATAATTTTAAACTGAAAAAGGGGATTACATAGTATATTAGCAAGACCACATGATTTTCTAGGGTTGTTGTAGGTATGCTTATTCCTTGAATTGTTGTAGGGCTAGCTAATACATTAAGGAAAGTTGTTAGGCCTAGATAATATGTGGAAATAGGAAAACATCCAATCTTAGAGGATAACCTTAAATATTCTAAAATAAGATAAGATATTTTCATAGTAGTCAATCCTGGATAGCGGAACGGTCGATCCCAAAAGTGGGATAGTGGGATTGTGGATAGCGGGATGATTTCTATTTAAATATTATATTTATATTTATTAAATAATTAATAATATATATAAAAAACTAAAAAATAGAAAAATAACTCTAAATTCATGCATTAATAATAAAAGTTCATAATTCTCAAACAAAACATAAAAAAAAATGTCTAGAAAACAAAATGTCAAAGTTCTAAGTAATTAAAAAAGTAAACATTGAAGTTCAATCTTCTTCCTCGTCAAGATTAAAGTCTTTCTCTCTTTCAAATTCATCACTCTCACTATTAGAATTATATTCTTCTATTTCATCACCATCATCTAAATCTTCTTTTATTATTTCCATCACTTTTTTTTTTCCTTTTCTTTCCTGGATGTAAGTAAAAATTGAAGTTCAATCTTCTTCCTTGTCAAGATTAAAGTCTTTTTCTCTTTCAAATTCATCACTCCCACTATTAGAATTATATTCTTCTTCTACTTCATCATCATCATCTAAATCTTGTTCTATTATTTCCATCACTTGTTTTTTTTCCTTTTTCTTTCTTGGATGTAGATGCAATTGTTGTTGCCTTGTTCACTTGTGTTTGTCTCTTAGTATATTGCAAAAGTTCACCAATCCCAATTGCCTTGACAACATTTGTTTAAGTCAAAACATCATATCAAAAACCAACTCTTCTTAAATATCACCATCTTCATCCAAATCTCCTCCCAACATCCATTCATTATTATCATCAACATCATTTAAAACAATGGGATCAATTACATCCTGACACTAAGTGTTCTTGAAGTGCTTGATTATGTTTAATAAAAACCAAGTCTTGAAGTTTTTGGTGCTCAAGCTTACTTCTTTTCTTTGAGTGAATCTATAATATTTTAAAAACATGAAGGTTAGTTATGTTTCCATTTTCAATGATAAACTCAAATTTAAATTGTTCATTTCAATTGCACATAAATACATTAAGTCATTAACTTACATGCTCAAAGGTGTTCCAATTACGCTTGCAATTAGATGAGCTACAAGTAAAGCTTAGTACCTTAATGACAAGAATTTGCAATTGTGGTGTATGTCCCTCGTACATCTTTCACCACTCAGCTCTAATGCATTATGCATATCATATACAATGCATTAATAATTTAATAATATTAAAATAAATTTGAAAGTGAAGTTGAAACTTAAGAACTTTCTTACTTACTGGGAGCCATTCTAACCCTTGCCCTTACTGCGGTAGGAATACCAAATTGGCCTTCCGCCCTTTTATATATTAGCAATTGAGTGTGAATATTGTTTACAATGTCATCATTTTCTTTATGCCTATCAATATATTTGAAGAGGCCATCCACCACTTCATCGTCACCATCAATTCTTGAATTTCTATAAAAAAAAAACTCAAGATTTAGATAATATCTCGTTGCATGCAAAGGATGATGAAGTTGGCAATTCCATCTTCTATCAATAATTGCAAATATATCCTTATTTTTTTCTTCATTGTGATCAAAAGAGAGTTGAATTGCCTCTTTGGCCCTTTCCATAGCTTCATAAATGTAACCCATTGTCGGTTTTTTTTAATTATCCACCAACCTAAACACATGTACAATAGGTCCCATAGCTTTTAAAGCATAGACAACATCACTCCAAAAGCAAGGCATAAGAACCACATTCGTTGCTTTCTTTCCCATAGCTTCTTTGGCTCCCTTTGATTGCAACCACTCATCGGAAGCAAACATTCTTCTAAGATTGACCTTTTGCTTATGCAGTCGTTGCAAACTGAGGAAAGTGGTATCAAATCTTGTAACTCCATGCCTCACCAATTCACCCTTGTTTGTATATTTCCTCATGATGTTTAACTTTAGGGATCTTTTCAATATCTTCTAGCATCAAGTCAAGACAATGAGCAACACATGGAGTTCAAAATAAATGCGGCTTTCCAGTTTGTAAAATTTTACCTAAAAAGACCAATAACAAAATAATTAAAATAATGTTATAACTCATAATTTTATGAGTTTAAAATTAAAAACTTCATTGAGGAACAACAATGATTGATGCTTACCTACCATAACACAATTGCTTCCATTATCTATTGCCACTTCAATAACATTTTTTCCTCCAATCTCCTCAACAAAATTATTCAAAAGTTCAAACACCTTCTCACCATCCTTGGTATATTCAAAAGCATCCACATTCTTCACAAACATTGTTCCCAATGAAAAATTCACCAAAAAGTTAATCAAAGTTCTATTTTTAATATCAGACGAACCTTCAGACATAATTGAGCATCCATATTTTACTCTCTCCTTTTCATGGCCCTTGAATAAGCCATAGGTGTATTCGAACTCCTTTTTAAGGAGTGGAACTCTCAATTCATGGTAGCTTGGTGGTTTTAAATGAGGACCATTGTTGCTAATAGCTTCAACCATCAATTCAAAACTTTTTGATCTAGCAACATTAAATGCAATTTCATTCCTATAAAAGGAGCGGGCTATGTATTGAACTACCCTTGCTCTTACTTTATTACAAGAATCATTTAAACTTGTTTGTCTCATAACTTTACCCAATTTGATACTTCTTCCGGTTTTTTAGCAAAGTGCAAATCAAGAGGACCTTTGACATTTATACCCCTTCTCTTGATAGTAAAAGTGGCTTCACTTGATGTAGATGAAGGTATCTTAAATCTAGCAATAGCTTGGATGTCATCTTCCTCTTCATATTCTTCCATAGGCTCCATATATACTTCATTGTCAATTTTTTTGCAATCATACCTGGCCTTCATTTCTAATTTAAGATCCTCTTGTATCTTTCTACAAGCACCTACATCTCCTCTTATTCCAAGTTGTTGTTTTTTTGTTCTAGTAATTCCTCTCATAGAAGATTTTAAGCAAAAATCACATGTCACACTCTTGTTTTTGTCTTTTAAGCTGTTCCACTTCCAAAATATATCAATGTTGTCACTGGTGGGCTTAAACATTCCAATTGAAGAACCCATTGATGGTGTGGGACTATGA